AAATGTAAAGTTGTAGACTTTTTGTATATATAAATTGTAAAAGAGTTATAAAAATATTTAAGGTGATTGCTTATATCAATTTAGAAGCTCCGAAAGGAAATGATTCTTCTTCCTTTAAAGATCATTGTCTTTTGGAATCTTATAGAAGATCTAGGAGCCAGAAAACTTAAAGATTAAAGAAATAAATTATTTTTAAATATATATTATATAAAAGTAGAAATTCAAGTTTATTATGGTGGACCATGTCCACCTTTACTTTACAGAAGACCCTAGGATATACATTGCTTATATTATAAAAGAACAAAGTCTTATTTATACATTACTTTCACATAACATTGTGATGCAATATTTAGAAGCACTTACATATCAAAGAGTCACAATTAAAGTTTTTGAACTAAATCACCCATATACCTATGGTATAAAACTATTTTCTCATGCTTTCATAAGGCATTGGTAAGTAGTTAAGATGTTAGCTAACAATTCACTCAAGGCAAACATTTGTCCAGATTATATACCCCTCAATTTCTCCTATCCCTAAAAGGGTAAGCTAATCATCTAAAATCTAAAGTTTAAAAAACCTTTAAATAAAAAATATAAATATTTTCTTTGGTTCTTTTTAACCAAAACTTTTTTCTTAAATCATTATAAATTTTTAAAAAAAAATATTCTTTGCTTTAATCAAGAATTAACTTAAGACTTATCTTGATATGTAATTAACAATAGTGGCTTGTCTCTATAAGGAGTATAGAACCCAATAAAAAATAAGCTCTATCTTAATTCTCTAAGATAGGGGAAGAATCTTATAGATGCAAACTTTGCTTTATATATTGGTTAGTTTTATATTTAAAATAATAGGTGAATATTTATTTTATATTTTGAGAAGAATTTAATATTCCTTATACTATATTTGAATATGAAAATAAAATAGATTTCTTTTTTTTTTTTGAATTGATTGTCGAGCATCAGTTTGTCTTTTGAGGGAATAGATGTTATGCTATGAGATTTGAGTAAATAAACACTAAAAATAAAATACATGTGGGCCCATAAAATTTGTCAACACACCCTTCTATATATCTATCATGGCCCTACTAGTAGCTAAGAAAGGTATACCTAAAATAATCAAACTCTCCTTATCTTCTTCTATATAAAAGATAATAAAATCCATTGGAAAAATAAACTTATGTAACTTAACTAACACAACCTCTTTTACCCTTTTTGGATTTATAAATAAATTGTTTGTTAACTGAAGAGCAACAATAGTAGGTTGGACTTCTCTTATATCAAGTCTTTTGAATATGGACAAGGACATTAAATTGATTTTAGCACCTAATTCACATAGTGCTCTCCAGCAAAAATTATCTGTTATAGCCATAAGAATGGTAAAACTGTCCTTAAACTTTTGAGGAAGTTTCTTTTACAGAATTACTCTACATTCCTCAGTTAAAGCTACGAGCTTAAAATAACCTAATCTTCTCTTCTCATTAAAGATGTCTTTCATGAACTTAACGTAGGTGTGCACATATTCTAAGGCTTCTAAAAATTGAATATTAATAGTTAAATTTTAAATAATTCCAAAAACCTTGAGAACTACCTATCCAAATTTTATGTTAACAATCTTAGGGAAAATTGTGGTGGTGGTGGACTTTCTACAACCTCTATAATAAGTTTTTTTACTTCTTTATCAGGTTAAAGTGGTTCCTTAGGCTAGGAAATCTCTACTAATTCTGTTATAATTTATGCCTCCTTATATTTATCCTTATTTCTTATCACTTTTTCTCTTTCCTGCTCCTCAATTGAATAACTTTGCATTATTATTTACCCTTTTCTTTAAAATTTATTTTAGTATTACTTGGTAAAGTTCCATGGGGTCTATTGGTTAAAGACTCAACTAAATAAACTAATTAAGTTTCAATATTTATAATAATAGTAGCTTGACATCGTAATGCAAACTAATTTGTAAAACTAGGTCTTCTAAAGAAGGCTTCTTATCCTTAGTTTGGTTATTTGAGTTAAATCCAGTTGATAATTAGGCATTGGGTTAACAAAAGTTTGAGGAGGGTGTTCCAGTTCCCTGCTTGATTTAATTAGTTAGAGTTTTAATTAGTATTATTATTTTGATTATTATTCCAATTGAAATTGGGATGATTTCTCGAACTTGGATTATAGATATTTAAGGAGTTATTAGTTCTATTATTAATTGCATTGATAATTTCTACTTAATTTTTTTTTGGATCATTAGAGACTCCACAAATATTCTTTTATATGATCACATGTGAATTATGAGCTAAATTAATTCCAAGATTATTTAAATTTTTAGAACTGATAGCTACTTGAGCAATTAAAATTGATAAAGAAACTAATTTAAAAATTATAGGTACTTTTCTAGGATTGATTTTTTTTAGACGACCTTTCAAAATTATTGGCATCCATCTCCACAATAAAAGCATTAGCTTCATCAAAGGCTTTGACATAGGAGAACCACTTGTAACAACATTAATGATTTATCTAAGGGAATCTCCAAGGCCAGTTTTTTTTTTTTTTTTTTTTGAAGAAATGCATCCAAATTGCATTAAGTAACAAAGAAGCTAATTACAATTGCTAAAAAGGATCACATTCCTCCTTGATTGAATTCAATAACAAGGAAGGAATGTTATTAAAAGAAAAGCTATCAAAAAAGAAACAACTTTCCAAAGCCATAGTAGCACACAAATTGGATACTTTATTACAACTTCTATGAACATGTTGAAAAACAACTTTATGAAAATCATTTAAGAAGAAGAGTTCCTTTGCCGGCCACCTATCCACAATCCTTATTCTTTTTGAAAGAATCTTGTATGAAAGTAATAATGTTGAGGTTGTCACTCTCAATAATCACCCCTTTATACTCAAGCATCCAGCTCCTAATGTATTCCCTTACCGAGAACACAGCCTCCAACTCAAGCATAGCAATGTCCCAATGGACTTTATTCACCCCAAAAGCAATGATGAACCTTCCCTTGTGGTCTCTGAAGATGCCACCGATTCCAGCACAGTTAGAACTAAGAAATGAAGCATCTACATTGATCTTCATCCAGTCTTTCGGAGGGGGGCACCAAGAACCATGAGACTCCCTAAGAATATTAGTACCCCAATTGGAAAGATGTGGACTAGCTTTAGTAATGGCCAAAGATAAAGCATTCGCATCTACCAAAGAACAAGGCAAAGCAGCTTTGCCATGTTTAACATCATTCTGATTCTTCCAAGCAAGATAAACAATAGTGCAGTAGATTTTAACAATACCAGGATTTCGAGAGGTTAGCCTTCTTAGCTCCTGCAAACATCATGTTAACGATTGGAAAACTAGAATGTACATACCCCACTCAAGCATCTGGTTAATAACTTCAACCACATATTTTCATTGGACCATAATGTGTTCATAATTCTCAACTGAATTGCAGCCTCTAGCGCATGATTCATCCACAACAATCCTACGGTATTTAAGAAACAAGTGTGTAGGAATTGCAGATTTCCCAAGTCTCCACCAGAATATCTCCACTTTCTTGTTAAGCTTGAGTTTATACATACACTTATAATAACCATCATCATCCATATTAAATTTACATTTCAGCATATGCTCATAGGACAAAGCAGACACTGACTTACCCGAGCACATACTCAGCAGCTCCATCCGATCCTCCATACCGAAATCTATCTAGATTTGACTGATCAACATGATGAGATCAGGATGAAAAACTTCATGAAGCAAAGCACAGTTCCATTGGCCTTCCCTCAATAACAGCTGGTGTACATACATTCCTTCCAATGAAACACAATCAACAAACGTTGGCCACCGATTAATGCACTTGTCTAATAACCAGACCTCATTCAGCACACTGATATTAGCCCCACAGCCAATCTTCCATCTGGTTATGTTCTTCAGCTATCTCCCCCCATCTAGCAGGATCTTCCAGGCATTGGACGTTACCCTCTTGTGTATACCATTCATAATCTCATCCCCATACTTATGCTTGATTTTTCTATAGAATAATGTCTCTGGTTTTTGAAAAAAGTCCCAAGCCAGCTTTGATCTCAAAGAACCAATCCTCATAACAGGAGATTGAAGTCCCATCCCTCCCATACTTCTTGGTTTACACAATTCTCCCCAAGCCACATAATGCATACTATGATTTCCACCAGGTTTGTGCCAAATGAAATTTCTACAAAGTTTTTCCAACTCATACAACACTTTTTTAGGAACCAAGGAATGTGTTACTAAAAAGTTTGGCATAGATAACAAAGAGCTTGTAATGAGAGTAATCTTACCTCCCAATGATAATGACTTCTTACCCCAAGCATTGAGCTTATCCATGACATTACTCAATACTTCTTGGAAATCAGCCATCATTAATCTGTTAAGATACAACTTTATCCCTAGATAACTCATCTCCTTAACTACTTTGTAGCCAAAAAATCTAGCAATCTTCTTTTTTATGGGATATCTAACCACCTTACCAAAGATAATATGAGATTTGCTGACATCAATCCTTTGGCCCGTCTATTTGCAAAAGTCTTCCACAATAGCCTTCAAAGCTTTTGCTAAAACCATGGAGACATAAGAGAAGATTAACACATCATTTGCATCGAGAAGATGTGTAATCGTAGGGCCTCTAGGAGAGACTTTAATACCAAGATTCTGTCCCCTCTACTCTAAAGAATTAGATATCAACTGGAAGCACATGATGAAGAGATATGGAGAGAGTGGGCATCCTTGACAGAAGCCACTTTGAGCATTAATCCAATCAGAATTCTTCCCATTAATAATAATGGAAAATCTCACATCTACAACACATTCCATGAGAAGGTTAGAAAACATAGAAAAACCCATACCATTTAAGAATTTGACCAAGTGTAGGCCACCCCATGCTATCGTAAGCCTGTTCTGTATCTAGTTTCAAAGCCATCAATCCCTTCTTATTCTCTCCAAGGCCAGTTCAAAGATTTAAATAATTAACTAATTTGGAAGGGTAGGATGAGAACATTTCATAAGTTCTTTAAATCTCTCCTATGATTCATAAATAGATTCATCATCAAATTTGAGAAAAGATGTTATATCATTCATAAGTTTAACAGTATTAGATAATAGAAAGTATTTAGCTTCAAGTTTATGAGAAAGATCATTCCAAGTTATAATTGAGCCTTGAGGAAATGAATTTAATCACATTTTAGCTTTATCCCTGTGAAATGGGAAAAAAAAAACTAAGTCTAACAATGTCAGCACTAACATAATTATATCTAAAGGTTGTATGAATTTCAAGGAAACTAATTATATGCAAATTAGAATCTTATGTACGAGTTCCTCCAAACTAAGAGTTTTATATCTTCTAGATTATGACATATTTTAATTCAAAATTTTTAACTTGAATAATATGTTTATTTATACTTTGATGAATACATTCAACCATAGGGCTAGTGCTGTGATGCTTCAGAACCTAATTTAAAAAAATAATAATCTTTTAATCTTTTAATAAATAATAATCCAATGGCAGGAGAAGTAGAATAATGCAATAATAATAAATTCATGCAGTAATAATAAATCCATATAATAATAAGAATAGTGTCTCAAAACATGCATTTTAGTAGTCACACTAAACAAGTAAGAAGTCCTCCAAATCTGAGCTTCTAATTTCTTTCTCCTCTCATTCTCTCTTAAAACCATTTATCATAAGTGGTATATATGACTTTTGGCAATGAATATAGTGAGTACATTTATGTTTTGAATTATAGAATATATTTTCTTGTTTATTACTATTAGATGATATTATATAGCTCTGATTGTTGTTTATTAAAAGATTAAAAGAATAATTCTTCCAAATTAGATTCTAGAACATCACAAGTGCATTCTCTAAGCGATGTACGTTGATCATCTTAGGAAGTTGCTCAACCATTTTGAAATCTTTTTCAATTTTAAGTATTTATAATTTTTCTTAAAATCTTCTCAATGTCAATGTAAAAAAAATAGTTCTACATGTTATTTAGTACTCTGCATGCAAAAATATGTAACAAAATAAAAATTATAAAACATCGAGTAGTAAAAACCAATTAGATATCAAAGAACCACTAAGTAGGTAAAAAAGAAAAAAAATATTAAATTAATAATTTACTTTACTAAATTCACTTTACAATTATTTACTGAAAAACTAAAGTTACAATGCTTAATGGTTTAAAAGAGTGGTGCAAATTGAAAGTAACAGCTCCAAATGTAGTAAAAAATTTACTATTTTTAGAAATTCTAAACGTATGATTTTTAAAAGTACATTATGGCTTTAGAGTGGTTCAATACCTATTATTGTTGTAGATCAAAGCATAAGTACTCTTCATCTCTATCAATCTCATTAGAGCATTAGATAGGATACCCCTTAACAACAGTTCTTCTATCTCCTTACGACCCAAAAATCTTAACCACCTAATCTCTATGTTATGGTTAGACTATGCTTTAAAATCTCTAATAATTCCTTTATTCCTCTGTCGAGGCTCTAGATCATACTAGATTTTCAATTTATATATGGCACATACATGAATCAATTGAAGCATGAAGAAATTTAAAACAACATCAATACCTTAAAGAATAAACCTACACTAATAAACACATGTCTTTTAAATAATATTAGATTCAAAGTAATGTTTAGCTGCACATGGAGACATTGCAACACATAATAAATATTTTATTTCATTGATTAAATAATAAATTACAAATTGAAAGCCTAAGATAAACAAGATAAAAAATGTAAAATAAGGTTTAAAATAAAATAGAATTAAGATTACAACCCCTTTGCACTTTTAAATGAATTGGAGTAATTCACATCAAAATATAATAGTGTCTAATAATTTGCAATTATGAGAAATAATAAAGTTTAATGGATTTATTAGTATACTCAACTCAATGTGCAGGCAACATAACATTTGACCACATATAACATTTACAGCTTCGTAATAGTGCTCTTGATACACATTTTTATCACATTTTATAGATTTGATAAATTATCAAAATATCACACAATCTAAAATACCTAGTTAAATTTAAAATAATTAGACCCATATATGCAAAATGACAACAATAATAATATACTAAATATGACATAATAAAAATTACCTAAATATCAAGATATCTTAATTTTATGAAGTTTGTTTAAATTACATATAATAATTTTAATAAAGAATTAAATTATTTAAAAATAAAGTAGGGTAAAAGTAAATTATCTTGAGTTGGATAAATTTCCCTTAGCAAGATGGATGAAAATGATAAACAAATCCTTGAAATGGAGTTTATCTCCTCTCTCTCTCTCTCTCTCTCTCTCTCTCTCTCTCTCTTTCCTCTTACAACTCTTCTTCTCCCTCAAGACATTGGCCGAATGGAAAAAATAAAATGCTTAGGTAAAGATTCTATTAAGGTTTAGGATATTGATAATACAATAAGATTAGGATAAATTTGTAATTATAGGAATTATTTAGTTTTTAATGTAAAATTCAAATAAATCTTCTTATAACTTGAAATCCAAAGCTGTAAAAAATTATGAAAAAATAACTAAAAAATAACACATAATGTCTAGAATGCTACACTGAAAAAGATTTACAAAACAGATGTTTAATGGTCCTAGAAAATTTACTTGTACCAATATATAGCAATTTGTTAAGGTGCTTCACTTAAATAAGCAACCACTTATTTTCATATCTACAATACCTATAAAAATAAATAAAATATTATATTCTCTATAATGCGGTGAAGATAGTTTTCAAATCAAGCTTATGACTACTTTTAAAATATATATTTTTGAATAACTATAGGTTAAATCTAACCTAATAAAATTTAAATGAGAAGATTGCTACTTTAGCACACTAACTAGTATAAACCTTCTTATAATTTAAAGGCTTCAAGATTTCACCTATTCTTATAAATTCAATCAAATAATATCACTTAACACATGATAACAACGTCAAAGGAAGGTGTAAGAGAAGTGGAAGAAACTAATTGATACACAAGTTCAAAAGGGATTTTCACACTTAGTGTTTTCACTTAAAAACAAAGAAATCTTCCACAAGACACTCATCTCTTTTTATTTCTTTAGACTCTCATTTAATTAGGATTTTTTTTTAAGTTTATTTATATTAAGTGAACAAAGAATAAACCCTAAAATAGGTTACAATTTCATCAAGCTCATCCTTCATAAGCAAAGTAATGGGCACCGAAGTAGGCGCGGGTGCACCGGCCATCTCTCTAGGACTTTGATTTTCAGTGAGATCTACTAAAGAATAGACCTTTTTGAGAACATAGAAATGAAGAAGAAGAAGAACCAGCATTATCCGAACATAGATTTTCCCTCTCATGAAACCTCTATGCAACTAGGGCTACCTGTCTTCCTCGTTGGAGATCACGATCATGCTCGCGAACATCAATCATGAACGTCAAGCCTTTTCTCATGGTTCATCCATGCCACTAGGGAGATGGAGCCCACGATCTTGTGTTTCCTTCATCGAGTAATCATTCTTCCACTTCTCTAATCATCAATTTTCTCTCTATTTTTTCCCTTTAAGCTGGTATGGCCACTCATTGCTTGAGTGACCCTAGTTTTTTATTATGAAACATAAATCAAGGTCTTTTTATGATGTTTTATCTGGTCAGTCAGCCTCACTTGTGTTTCCTCCACTCAAACCTTCTTCCCTCCTTGGCTTGCCCGCCTTGTTGATTTTTTAGGAATAAATGTGCTCACTTGTTGCTCCGTTTGAATTTGTTTTAGTTGGGAAGTTTCCTGCTCGCCGTTCACCACTGGATTCCATTAAAAACAAGTCTTAATCTTAAATTGATAGGTGAATTTTCTATTACTTTGTTGAATCATAAGAATATTTTGATTATGTTAAGGAATGATGCATAGGGGTCTATAAAATAAAGACCCTAAACCATAATGATTGGGGTGGATCATTATGGTGATAGTGTTCCTCTTGATTCCATTGATGCCAATGGGGGTGATCCCACTAGTATTAATATTAGGGAGCAAGAGAATTTGGCTACATTGGCTTAGGGTGATGATGTTTTCCTTAATATAAATAATTTGGTTTCTCATAATGCGGCTCTCCTTGAGAATGCTGATGCTAATTTGATTAGTGAGGGTGTGGTGAAAGATTGTTTTGCATTGGCTCATAGCAAGGAGGGTATCGTTGGGGGAGTAGAGAAGATGCTTTGTCAGGATCTTGAGTTGGTGGCTACGATTATGTCTTATGATTTAGAAAGCTTAGCTGGCCACTTGAATCATAATGCACCAGTTTTTCTTCCCCTTATTGTGGGGAGTGTTGGTCGTAAAGCACTGGTTGATGTTCCTGTCGATTTTTTTGCCTAATGTTCTTTTATCTCAAGTTATGGTGAGGTCGGGGAAGGCCTATTTGGGTGGTGACATAATTGTTAAGGTGCAAATAGATTGGCTTGAGTGTTCTTCATCTTCTCCATCTAAAGGTGATGAAGGGGAAGTGTTTGAAAAGGTTGGTGGTTTGTGTGATGCTTTCGTTTGGGTGGGTAATCGAAGGAAGAGGAAATCCAATAAATAGTGTTTTATGTCTGGCTTGGTGGTTGTTACTTTGGGACTTGGGGTGTTGGGTTGTGTGGAAGTGTAGGTTGTTGTTGTGGTGCCATTCGCATTTGGATGGCATTTTGACTGCTGGGCTTATAGTGGGTTTCCTGCTTGCTGTGGATCTCATTGGATTTGTTAGATGTAGGTTGCTGCCATTTTAGTTGGTTTGATCCTTAGGCTAGCTTTGGTTTTCTTTTATTATTATTATCTTTTTAAATTGTAATTAGTAGATCCAATAGCTCTTAGGGTTTATTTTAAAGGTTGTATTTTTAGATGAACTTATGGATCATTAAAGACTTGTAATTCCCCTTTTATTCAAGATGTAGGCCCTTCCGTGGGTTTTATCCAAAAAAAGGGTTGATCATGCAGTTTGATCCAAGAACATAAAATTTGATTAGTTTAGACATCTAAAACTTTTAAGAAACCGTCTATTTTTTATCATCTAGCATGATTCTTATCCTATTTAAAGCAACTATATTGGTCTACTCTATCAATAAAAAAATTATTT